TCAAAGATGGATGGTTCGTCATATTGCCGAAAGATTTTGTCTTTAGCTTTAGCTTCTCCTACATGGGACAAACAAATTAAATGGAATATACATCATAACGACAACAAATCAGTCATAATTTGGTAATGTATATCAGTCAATCTGAAAATATGCGTTTAAGAACATTATGGAATCTTATTTGAGGAAAAAAGAAATTTCATTTTGAAAGAAAATTTGTCTTTCTAGTCATCAATAATTTCCTGTTTGCACAAAAAGAACCTTGAGTTTGTTGAAAATTTGTAAGAAGGTAAGAAAAAAAAAAAGATTACAGTATATTTTCCGTGCGTGTTTTCTCTTTCGGAAATATAAAAAAGGTATTGAGAATGTAAAACAATAATGTATCAACTAACGTTTTTTAATTAAAAAAAAAAACAAGTGAATGTGGCGGAAAAGGAAACCGACAGAATAAATTGAATAGTAGGTGTTTTTTAAGAAAAGGAGAGATAAAGAAGAAGAAACATTGTAGGTTATTTGAACATCTATATGTGTTTTTTCCACTATATTTCCTTTTTTTAAAAATTTTTTTTCACATATCGACTTTTTCTTAGCTCATTAGATTTTACTCCCATAGCAAAGTTTTTGTTTCATCCCATTTGACGTGGGATGTAGAGATAGAACATGAAACTAGAGATAATTAAGAAACAAAGGAGGAGAAAGAAGATCGATCAAAAATTAAGATTTTCACGGAAGAAAGTAGCAATGGGAGTTGAGTAGATAGAGGAGTTTTTTTTTTTTAATAAAATGGTAGATGGAGAAGTTGAGAGAAACTAATGTGCCGAGACAACAAATGCAATTCCCTCCTATCTGCTTTTATTAGTACGATTTAGTATATTGTTGAAGTATAATTATTTAACTTACGTATTAGAGAACAGAAAATGAAACGATTAAAGTGAGACAACGCCTACAAGAAAATGGAAGTGGTTAGAAGAAGTTAAAGAGAACGAACTACGAGCATCAATTGCAACGGCTATTTTCGTTTTTTCCCTGTAGTCGTGTTAAATCAAAGAAATGGAGATTCTGATTTGAGGATTAATCCCTCGTCTTCCGATGTATATCATAGAGTTTTTATAGGTCCATTAAGTTCAATTGTTTCGTCTTCAGGCCTAATTACACTATTGCATTCTCGTGATTGTCCTTTTTGTGCCCTTTCTTTTTCTTAAACAACCATCTATTGATGCTTGAGAAAGTGCATAGATTATTACGGTGGAGTGAGGTCTGATGGGAAAAGGGAGATATTACAACCAGAGGAAGACTATACATCTACATCTTACTCTATCGGTGTGTCTAGTTTTCCGTCGTACGTTAGTAGTTAATGCCCCTATAAAATCATCACTATTATTTGATGTTAACTACAATGGTAGAAAGAACTTTTTCTTTAGGTAAAGAATAGAAAAGGGAATTGCCCTCTTGATAATTTTATTTACGGCTCCCCCAACTTAGCCCAATTACTAGTTCTAATGCATTGGATTATGTCCAAGGGTGAAAATGTCATAATGCTAACCATAGTTAGGGCATTAACCAACCCAAAAAAAAAAAAAAAGAAACCGTGTTGTAAAAACAGCGTTAGTACTCCTGAACAGAAAATATGATGGTACGTGTCGTCTTAATCTGTAAATGATAAATTTAAGCAAAACAAAATAATTAAGGACGAACAAATTATGTAAATATCTTCATTACTCACGATAACAGGATAACTTTAGAAATACATAGGTCATAACCATTTCTTTCAGCTGAAAACAGAACTAGTACATTATTTATTTTACATTGATTCCATATCGAAAATGGTGCGGCACACGAGTTGCAAGATTGAGAAGACCATCTATGGCTGCAACAACCTAATAATTTAGAGGTTTATTTTCAAAATTATTAATTGAGGAGTCCATCCAAATTTAGACTTTCTTTTTTCCTCCGTTACTACCAATCCAGAGAGGATCATCCTTTCGGTACCAATGGCAAGCCTCTCCTTTTCCCGGCGAAATGTTCAGGGTTTTAAAAACCATATGTTCAGCTGGCCATTCTGATGTATCCATGTGACACACTGCCAAGATCCTATTAACATGAGATTTTGTTTCCGGATCGACAAAATCTAGTAGATGGGCAAAATAACAAGTTTATCAGTGATATGTACTTTGGGGGGAAATGTTTTTTTGGTCAGGTTTGCTAGTTTGTCAGGAATAGTGAAATAAGATTCAGTCATTAAATTAATTCTTATATTCATAATTTGTATTTTCATCAGCCAACCAATGAGTACTTCATCCGTCCTATAATTATTGCCCAGTTTGTATTTTCATTTCTAATTCAAATTGCACTTAAAATGAAATCTCAAAGTAGACAATAATTTCAGGACGAAAGGAGTAATATAATGTTGATTGGAGTAACAACTCTTGCGTTACATGGTATCTGAACGTTTGATCGGAAGATACATGCAGGTATAAATAAAGGATACACAACAATACATTATGCTCTCTTGTAAGTTTTCTTTTATTGACTGTGTTTTTTTTAAAAAAAAATGGCTAGTGGACAATTTTCAGCAAATAAATGGATTTTTCTTTATAAATAAGCAAATATTTAGTTTCAATGAATAAATAAGTGACAGCATTTGCACAAATAATTTAGAGTTTTGTCTTCTTCCCCGTCTTTTTTTTTCCCGCTGTATGAAGGTAGCAAAAATATTTAATTCTCCACTTCCTAGTGGCTTTAATTTGTTCGATATGAAAACAAGAAAATGATGTAACGGAGTAACGTATTAGAGAAAAACAAGATTAATGGTTGGATTGTTATGAATATTTTAGGATTAAAGTAAAAAATACTAATCCTTAACAACCGAATCAATTTATATTGTAATTTCTATCAGGTTCGTCACATTGCCGAAAGATTATTGTCTTTAGCTTTAGCTGCTCCTGTCTGTACAAACAAATTGAATGGAATCTATAGTACTTAATTAAAGCAGCAAACAAAAAAGACATGTGTCAGCACTACAATAAAAATTTTCTCGCTAAAAGTCATTTTCAGTACAAAATCATTTTTGACACGTGGCACTCTAACTAATCAGAAAAAAAGATGGAATAGATAAATACAGAAATCCCTTAATTATATCTACATAAAAATCTCTTAATTATAGGTATACAATAATCCTTTAAAACAACAATATTTAGTTGATAAAATCAAATGTAAGGAAATCCCTTTAAATCAAGTGAAACACCATCTCTTCCATTCGGCTCCCATCTCACACCGTGCCTTTAAATCAATTACTTAAAATCTGACATCAATTATCAATACATCTCTTTCCACAACAGAGAAAAAATAAGCTGTCATTAAAGAAATTTGATTTTTTAAGGATGATTTTTTTTAATTCTTCTGTTGTAGATATTGGTTTATGATTTATGTAAACTCGGGCATAAGTTAACTATTATAAATTAAATGTTGTAAATTTGGGTATAGATTTATATGTAATAACTCACTTTCTGCCCTTTCAATCAATTTTTTATTCTTCAATTTTTTTTTATTCTTTTAAGAATAATTCGTATTTTTTATTTAATCGATTTAAAAATACAGGCGGCATCCCGGACATTCGCCCGGGGCAAGCATCTAGTATAGATTATGACGATAACAAATCGGTCATAATTTTGTAATGTATATCTGTCAATCTGAAAATTAGATGCGTTTAAGAAAATTAGAGAATCTTATTTGAGGAACAAAACAATTTCATTTGGAAAGAAAATTTGCGTTTTTGGTAATCACAATTGGTTCATTAGGAGAAGTTGAAGAGAGTGAACGACACGTCAATTACCACGGGTATTTTCGTTTTTCTCCTGAACTCGTGTTAAAACAAAGAAATGGAGATTCTGATTTTGGGATTAATCAATCCCTCGGCTTCCGCTCTATACGATTAGAGTGAGTTTTTATAGGTCGATTAAGTTCAATGGTTTCGTCATCAACCAAAACATTACACTATTGCATGCTCGTCATTGTTTTCTTCCTGCCCTTTCTTTTTCTTAGACAGTCATTTCTTGATGCCTTGGAAAGTGCTTAGATTATTACTGTGGGGTGAGTTCTGACCGGAAAAGGCAAATATTACCACTACAGGAAGACTACACATCCGCCTCTTACTATAAAAATCATAACTAGTATTTGATGTTAACAATCATGGTAGAATCTTTTTCTTTCTTAGGCAAAGAATAGGAAAAGGGAATTGCTTACTTGATAATTTTGTTTACGGCTCCCAACTTAGCCCAACTACTTACTGTGCAAACCCTGATACAAATGGGTGAAAATGTCATAATACTAACAATAGTTAGTGAACCTATCATTAATGCAGGAACCAGGCACATTTTAAAATCAAATTTCATTATTCCTTGAATTATAATCATATATGATTAGTAAAAACAATGTTAATCCTAAATATATATATATATAATATTAAAAGAAAAACAAACACAAAAATACTCGTGTTGTAAAAACAACGACGTTAGTCCTGAATACTCTCTCTGTCCCAAAATTTTTCTCCATTTTGAGATTTTACTTTTAGTACAAAATTTTAGGACGGAGGGAGTACATAATAAGTACTTGTCTTATCAATCCGAAAATGATAAAAATAAGCAAAACAATATTATTAATGACGAACAAATTATGTAAAAACCTTCATTACTCACAATAACAGGATAATTTTACAAATACATAGGTCATGACCATTTCTTTCATCGGAAAACTGAAATACATTATTTATTTTACATTGATTCAATGTCGAAAATGGTACGGCACACGTGTTGCATGATTGAGAAGTTCACAAGGTAAACCATATCTGGGGTACAACAACCTAATAATTTAGATGATGATTTACACAACTATTTGGCTAGGATTCCATCCAAGTTTGGGCTTTCTTTTCTCTCCGTTGCTGCCAATCCAGAGAGGATCATCCTTTCTGTACCAATGGCAAGCCTCACCTTGTCCCGGAGAAATGTTCAGGGTCTTAAAACCATATGTTCAGCTGGCCATTCAGATGTATCCAAGTGACAAACTGCCAAGATCCTATTAACATGAGCTTTTGTTTCCGGATCGACAAAATCGACTGCGTAAAGACGTGTATTTGATAAGGGAAGCGAATGGCAAAAGTAAGTGGCAAATGGAAAGAAAACTTCATGGCAAGACACAATCATTTTAGTGTGGAACTGTTTGATGTTTCCGATTTCAAGCTCTTTTCCTGACCCTCTCGTGCTTTCAGTACTCAGTGAGATTAATTTTTTCTCCCCCAAGGCTTTTTTCGAGAATTCTATCATGTCCTCTAATGAGTTGGAACATGTTTTGGTTTCGCCTTTTAGGGCTGGAACATTACAATACCCGATACTTCTTTCGATGGTTTCTTTCATTGGCTCGGAAGCGAATAAGTTCGGGAAAACTTTCTGGAGATCAGCTGAATCTGTGGTGGATATTTTGGATGCTATTTTAGTCGGAAGGAATGAGCGAGGAGGAAGACTTGTTTTATCAAAGCTCGGAATTTGGACTCGTCTCCTTTTGAAGAACTGATGAAAGCCTGAAGAAAAAGTTGGGGTCAAGTGATGAGGAGGCATGTTCATCATGTAAATCAAAAGCTTTGCTGCTAATAGAAACTTTATCCACTTAGATTTCGAGTGGCCTCGATCGTAGCTAAAGTATTTTCTGATAATGGGGTGCAAGCCAAATTGGCTTTGGAGCAAAATCCATTCTGATTGAAGGATTCTCGGTTTGATGTAAAAGAAGAAGTTAGGGCAGAATCTTGGTTGGATAATAAAGAGAGTTTTGATTCAATTGATTCAGGCATTGGATTGACAACATTGTCGGACCAAAACTCTAGTTGAGAGGAAGCAACTGAATTGGGAGGAAATCTAGCAGCAAATGCTACTTCCAATTCTTGGACAGAATTGGAGAGAAAGAGAAGAAAGATTGAAACGGCGAGACTAGACATGTTGAATTTTCTCATGATTTAAGTTGATTAGTGAGGATTCAAGAATAGGTGTGATGGAAATATTGATCTGTGTAACCCTTTATTTATAGTTGATTGATGGAGAGGCATCAATGCTAAAAAGATCATCACAAGGCAAATAAAAACAAATTGATTAGGAAAACAATAAAAAGAAAATCTATTCGAGCTATACATCACCAAAAGTTTATACACCAATAGAACTTCACCATTATGCCAAACTCGAAGCCAAATTTTCGTGACTATAGTAAATTGACAATAATTTACTGCAATAAAATTCCAAATTAACAACCACTTCTTGCTTGTTGAAATAAATTCGGAGAGCTTTCCAACTGTACAATGATCAAGTGCTAACTGCTCCTATTCCAGCTATTTGAGGTAATTAGTCAAAGTAAACCTGAAAATAAACATTAAATAAATCAATAAATAATTGTTCCGCAAGGCCTTTTCATCTCCTAGGATTGAAGCTTGTGTTTTCTTTACCGACGTGGAAAGTTTGATTAATATACCTTATATGGACATATTAATAGCTTCTTGATAATACTCCTGCGTCATTTCTTTCTCCTTCTTTTTTTCTCTTGTTTTTTGTCTTCTTTCTACACTATATATCAAACAATATTGCTGATATATGGTGATACGTGCAATAATTAGTTTTCAATCATGTTTTTGTCTTGTGAGGTACGTTGAGGATAAAAGATAATCATAAACTTGTTAACGTGTGTCCTACATATACATGTAAGATTGACAATCTGATGCGAGAATGCACGTTTAGTTTATATTTTTTTTTTATTTACTTTATCAGTTTCACTAATATGCAATTGTGTAGCTGATATGGCTTTATAGTCCATGAGATTCTTATATTTTAAATAATGTCCCAAAAATATAGTTAATTATCGTTGCAGAGAACAAAAATGACTATAAGCTTATGAATGTAGGACCTTCCTAAATTTTATAATATAAATCATTAGGTCTAAATACTTATCCATGCACTTCATGCCAGCAAATAAAACAAGCCTCCACAATTAAAAAAAAAAAAGAAAAAAAAAGAACAAAAGACTTCCCTTGTCAATAATGTGAATTCAAGACCTAGCCCAATCAAGTATCCTTTACCGATCTTCAAATGATCATATAAGACCATATGTGGTTCTATCTCAAAACTAAGTGACAATGAGTGGAGTATCACATTATGATACTTATATGTGATTTCAAGTGTTACAATTTTTTCATGTGAGACAAGTGTCTTTCACTTGTTTTTCACTAACCACACTCACTTCAACACCCCTTTCTAAAGCCCAAAGAGGTTGGACCAGTCCTTTTCGGAGCTGTATAACTCTGATACACTGTTGGCCAGTACACTTACATCACAAGTCAACCTACAAATCCATATGTCGCACAGCCCACTGTGATACCATCTGGAAATGGTCTATAAAACTCCACATGTGGTCCCACCTCAAACTAGTTGGCAATAATGCGAGTTGCGCATGGGACTTATATGTTGGTTTCTAGTGTTATAATTTCTCCATGTGCGACAAGTACTTTTGACTAGTTTTTTACTCACTAAACTCACTTCATCAATCGATACAAGAAATAAAAAAAATAAATAAAAAATCAGAGACTGTTGATCATGGTCATTTGAACTCTACATATCTAAGCTCCAAAGACTAATAAAAGCTTCTCATTTGCTACATCTCAAAGTATAATTTATTGTGTCATAATATTTTAGGACAGACAAAATGTTTTATTTATGCTCTTGCAAAAAAAAAAGAAAAAGAAAAAGGAAAAAAAAAGAAGTTAAATTTAGTAGTACATAATCTTTTGTTGTTCTAAACATAATCTTTTGCTTTTCGATCTCTCATGTGATCCTTGTTTGAAACCCCAAAGGGTTGTTGTCCACTCTAGCATCAACATTAGGTTTAGATGAATCGCTGAAGGCTATCGAAGTCACCAAAATAAAATAACCTTAAAACTGCAGATAGTATTCGATCCCAAAATGACGGGTGAGATCCTAATAAACCCTAATTGATTTGACTAAAAACAACAAACTAAATAGAAAGACTGATTGATTGACTCATGCAAGTGACAGACTGACACAACTCACAAAAAACACAAAGGGACAGCAACCTAAGGTCTTCATCCAGTCTCCTCTATATATAGTTATTTGATGAATTATTTTTTACTTTTTGTGATATGAAACTGTGTTTGATCAGACACTTATATATTGTAAGAGCACTTTTAATTGTTCCAGACAGAGTGCTAACTCATAATATAACTACGTAGATTCAATGGATTAGACCCTAGAGAAGAATGGATCTGATGGAAAAACTGGACGATATGACCCTTTATATATAGTTGATTAAATGGAAGGTATCCATGCTAAAAAGATCAAAAGTCAATGAAACTTTAAACAAACGAAATTAATTGATTAAGAATTATTTTTTTAAAAAAACTATTCTTATACGCTACCAAAGAAAGTTTAGACACCAACAGAACTACAGCATTATGCCAAACTCATAACAAAATTTTTGCGATTATAGTAAATTGACAATCTATCTATAGTATCTATAGTACTTAATTAAAGCAGCAAAAAAAAAGTACAGGTGACAGCTCCACGTTTAATATTTTCCCACCAAAAGTTATTTTCAGTACAAAATAATTTTTGACACGTGGCATTCTAACTATTCAGAAAAAAAAAGATAGAATTGTAAAAAACCCCAATACTAAATTTCAGCAATAGCCCGAAAAAAATACCCCCAAATTACTACCAATATTTTAGATTTGTGTCTTTCACGGCACTAACTTTTGACGTTCGTAATCTCCTCATATTGAGTTAGTAAAATCAAATTTCAAAAAGATTTTTTTATTATCCTTCAGTCTCTCTCAATCCAGATGAATCCGAAATCTTCCAATTTGAAAAAATTCAATTTCAAACATCACAGGCACCAAGATGATTCTACAAAAATTTAAAAAGATCCCTTCACTTGGTGAATTTGGTGAATCCCAAGGACGAGCACCATCGATGGGAGATTCTGAAAATTTGGAGGAGGTGAAATTTTGCTCTAATCAAAGCCACGCACAACCAATAGTAAATTAATCTCTCAATCCTCTTTAATACATTCAAAACCAATTTCGCTCCCCACTCAATTTCTCATTAATGAAGAAAAAAAATCATGCCCACTCAGTTTCGCTGCCCAATTTGAATTGATTAGTGAAACATCTGAAAAAATAGAACAGTATGGTTCCGGCGGATGAAGATGGTGGTGTACTACAAGAAAAGGTGGCGCGGCGATGCATTTACAAGGAGTCCCGCTGTCCCAGTGCCTTTTGTTCTTGCTTAAATCCACACGGTAAATTTCAAGTTATGGTAAAATATAATTCTAATTGCTTTTGCTGAGATACAATGATTCTTTCTTTTGGATTTCCTTAATCTTATTAAATGAAATCCCTAATTTCTTTTATATCCGATTGATGAGATCCGGCAAGAAGAGAGTAAAACCATACAAAGCAAGTGAAGACTCTCCTCATTCACCATCCCATTAAAAGAGGAATCCGCGATGGGGATAAATATCTGGCAAGAAGTTTAAAGCGGCAGCCGTTAGAAAAAGATAACGAAAGTCTGTGATTTAGGATTTTTGTTTGGGTTTTGTAATTTTTGGGCAATCTCCCCCTTTTTTTTTTGTGGACTTATTGATATGTTTTATTAATCGATTTTCAGAATTGAGGTGTTCTTAACAACCGGAAGATCTATTTGATGACAACGAGAAGACGATTCATTCTCCTCTTCTTTCTTATTCGCCCCCTTCATCTTCCTCTCTGTTTTTATCTCCATCTTTTGTCAGTTTATGTTTCTCTCTAACCTAAATTAGGAGGATTGGTATAGCTCTCAAGGTTAATTTCATTAGATCGGCGTTTCAAGTTCTTTTTGTTTCCCTAGGTTGCTGTTTGTTTATATGATGCATTGGTAAAGTTCAAAACTTTTCTGTTTTCTTTGGTGAATTTCGTTTGAAAGAGATAGACCATGCATTATCGAGCTGATGCTATAGAGAATGCACAGGTTGTTTCTGTTGCTGAAATCTTATTATGTTGAAATGGAACCATTTTGCAATGTTACTTTTTTTACTTTTGTTCATGAGCCAACCCCCATTTCATTCTGTTTGAATTATTTTGTATTCTTCAGATTGCAGAAGCAAAGAGAAGAATAGAGCGAGAAATGAAAGCAGAGTAGCATATTCAGAAACTTCTTTTACTCGGTACATGAGTTGTGATCTTATCTACATCAATGAGTTGCTTTGTTGTTTCCAGATGTATATACTTTTGGATTTTTATACATTTGTTGGTTATTATTTCTTTGTAATCACATAGCGCATTTGAATCTAAAAGGGAAAGAAAAAAGAGTTCAGTACTTAATTTTAATGCCTAAGAAACATTAGGAACGTTAATAGTTTTTGTGATACATAACCCTTCTCATTCTGTATTGGAGTTCTTTTATATATTAGAGGCTGTTATTGATATTACAATCATTTTTCATGGTTAATCCCTTTTGTTATTGGATGTCTCCTGTATTGGAGTTGAAAACCTTGATTTTCTGAGGAAGAAATTGATGTATAAAGCTAC